ACACTATTTATGCCAGCAAAAAAACGCCAATCCTATAATTGACTGACTGTTAATGTACCTGACAGTTTAGCATGCCTAGGATGAACAATAAATCTTTTCAATAGAAATCATAGAAGATGCCTCACATTTTAGGCTAGATGTGAGGCAGTTCATATTTTCTTAGAGAGTAGACAGCCTCTGGATATGTTGCTAAGTGGTATAACAGATTCTGACTTAGGAAGTATTCAAGAGGGAATTGAACCAATTCTTGATTGGGACAGATATTGCATTGTGTAGAAAGATTATCTGATAATACATGGTCAGTAAGGTCTGGACTGGTTTTGATCCTGGCTTAAGCTAACCTAAGTATAGTGGCAGGCTTGATGGACCAGCTGGTCATTTCCTGTCTCTTGTGATATCCTTCCACATCCTCTGAACAATGGGTGAATAACACACAGTCTAACCCTGAACATCTAAATTACTAAGAGTTATCTTAAGAAATAGAATTTGTAGATTTTGATTGATTGATTTATTTTGATTGATTGATTTATTTATTGTCATGTGTACTAGTTACATGTATTTGTTACAAATACAATGAAAAGTGTTGCCACTACCAGCACCTTCTTAAAGACACAGAAAATAAACCAAGACATAGAATATAAAGGCACAAAATAAAGCAATAATGTTAAAAGTTCAACATTACAGTCCTTCTTGTTAAGTGCCTTAGCCATGGGCCTGGATCTTTCACCACGATGCTGAGTCCAACACCAGCATGAAGAAGTCAGCCAGCCTCAAGTCCCTTCAACGCACCGCCGCTGTTGGAATCATGTTGCCATTCTTTGGCACCATCTTGTCTCCACCGACATCATCGCTGCCATGAGTCCGCACTGGGCCAATCTCTGCAATGCAGCTAACGCTGCCAGGTCCTGAACTAGGCCCAAACTCGACGCTGGGCCCAATTTGTTTCAAAAAGAATAAGTGTTTCAAATTTGGTCATTTTCACATCTTAGGACATTTGTGATGGAAAGGATTTTAATTGCTAATCTTCCCTGTAATATTGGACAGTGCCAATGTTCCCACGAACCCCAGATCAGTGATCTACTGAAGCAGATATACTGACATTTGTTTATATTGGTTTTGGTTTATTTCTTCTCTCCTGCTTGTAATACTTGAATGGTTCGATTTCTGTAGCCACAATTATTAAATAATAGCAAACAAATATATGTCCATGGAGTTACATTGCATATCTGTCACGATCGTCTTGAATGGCATAACTGGATTGAGGAGCTAAATGGCCAACTCATATTTCTGTTTTCCAGTGTACCAAGCTCCATTTTTCTGCCATGTCCTAATATACCTTAATTTATTTCATGCAAAGAATTGTAGCAATCTCAGTCTTAAATTAACACTGTGACTGTGCATCCACAACCTTTTTTATTCCACAGCTGCCAATTATAACGGAGCTTCAAGGCATTGGTCAATTTTCCTGACAGACTTCTCTGATATGTTTACAACATGAAACAAAGCAATGCCCAAGGCTGAAAGTAATAGCTTTTCCAAAGAATTGGCCAGGCAGTAATTCCTAAATGATAAGTTGCATCTCCTGCTAGCAATCCAACGATCAATATTAATTGTTTCTGACACCTGAATGCATTCTGTGGCTGTGATTTGGTAAACAGTCCATGTAGAAAATATGACTCATCCAAGCTTTTACATATGAGACAATCATATGTATCTTAAGCAGACACAGACAGATTTGTTTCCAGCCACAAGTGATCGAATATAAATGGTCACCAGCTGGTTAGCAACGAGAATCCCCTAGAGAATTATTAAAATTATATTCTTATGATGATTTAAAACAACAGATCTCTGATCAGTCACAATATTCAGAACTTCTAGCTAATATGTAACCATTTTCTTTAATCCAAATGCTGAGCACCGCAGAGTTAGGGATCTTTCTACGTTAATTGTGTTTAACCATATACAAAATAAAACGTCCCTTTGTTGACTAATTTCTTCTGATTTTTAAGGGCTAATTCTGCTTGTGGATGGCTCAGGAGATGAGAACTACAGATGCAATCATGTGTAATTCACAATGTGATTGCCTTTCAATATGCTTGGTGTAAAATTTGCACCCAGCAGTATGCATAATTATGGTACAAGGCAAATATATGGCATAAAACGTGGATGAAATTTTGACTCAAGTTGGCTACATTTGTTGATTATGTTAGAGTATCCTATATGTTTTATGCCCATTTATTGCTCCCAGCTCCAATTTCAGTTTATTAAAATTAGCATTAACTTCATACTGAAGGGCTGCACACACAGATTTCCTATGTTTACACAGTTCAGAATTTTACTGCTGAAGTTTTGGGAGTCGTAGGAATCAATGTATTGATTATTAAACGACTTTAAAAAATTATCTTTTCCAGAACCTGCACTGTATTTTACATTTGTTTGAATACATTTTACGGAATCGGTTTGAATGACATCAGCAATTGGACAGCTTCCACGGTTTCCTTTTCTTGAAAATCCAATGGGCACCAAGAGTTCAATGGCTTCAAACTTTAACTTTTAGAAATCTGCAATTTCCTATACATGCACCGAATGTGGAACTTTGGGTCTAAGAGTGTTATTTACATAAATGCGATATACTCCAATCTCCTCAAAATTCTACAATCATCCCTTCAATGGCTCGCAAACAGGGGTCCCATGGACATGTGAGGGGGATCTGGGAAACAAAGTAAAACATAGTTACTGAGTCGGGGGAGGTAGTGATAGTGGTGGGTGGGGAAAGGGAGGTTTGGTAAGTGCAGTGGGTTTGTGTGGCCTTATGGGTGGGTGAATTGTGCAGCTGACAGAGAATATACAGCAAGAGCTTGGATCCAATCCTGCCACTGTATAACCTATTAGATTTATCTTCTTAAGGTGATATATATTTTACTTAAAAGCACTATGCAGGTTAATATGGCAAATGCTAACAGAGTCTCCAGGCTCTCACTTTGCTGCTCTCTCACTCATGGAGATGTACAACCAAGTGTCAGACCACCCCTTAGCCAGCCTCTCAGTGCTCTGCTGGCTTACTGCTCCCATTTTTAATTGCATAGGATTTTTGTGGGCATTTGAGACACTGCATTCTTCAATAATATCCACCTCTCCCTTAAAATAAACAAAAACCTCGCTTTTATATTGAATGATTTAAGGCTTTTATTGTCAAACATCAAGAATAGACTGTAATAAGAAACAGGCTCACCCATCTTATCCATATCTGTGAGTACCTGATTTCTAAATAATTAATTCTTAATGATTAAAACAGTTGCATAAAGCATTTTCAAATTATGAGCATCTTGCAATGTCATAATTTGATTTGTTAGTGATCAATAATCCATTTGAAAAGAGGATGGCAAACAAAAAGGTTTGAGAACCATTGGTTTGTCAGTACCCCTGCCCAAACGTTTTGCAGCTCATAATAGATGGTCTTCCTACAAGTTACAGAACCTGCATGCAAGTCTCCTACGATTACACATAGTAAAAATCTGAATGCTTCATTGATTTCAGTTTTTAAAAGTGATGGCCGTGAATATCCTGTACAATTGTGCATTCAGGCTACAAATTAATTCTGTGGGATAACCAGTTGCAGAATTTTTAGGCAAAAATAAGTTACATGTTGTGAGTGCAATGTTCCTGAACCTCTCACTGTCTATTGAGGTCCTTCAATCCAATGCACATAAATGTGGTCACATTCCCAATATTCAAACATAAGCTTCCTGCAAGTGCTTTCTACATAATTCTGTACAGATCCTTAGGTTCGTTTGTACCTGTACTAACCTGAATCAGGTGCAAATCGGTTGATCTGGGAAGCAGCAAAGTCATTCTCATATTTTGGCGCTGCACTCAATATTCAAAATTAAATTTTAAACTGTCTCTTTTGGAGACTCTATTCCTGTTAATACTGAAGCAGAGTAGCATGAATAAGAGGAACAGAAATCCAGAACTTGACAGATGCTCCAAAGCTCCAGGAACCTTCTGAGAAGTTGACTGTACAATGGTTGCAACTTTACAAAAATAGCCATTGACCAACAATGTGACTGGCTTGGAAATTACATATAGTCTTGCTCCACATATACCAGAGCCTTGACTATGGAAAGACAGTGATTATGACCCTCAACTATTGCAAATCTGAACCTTGGCAAGCATCAACTAGCCAGCCCATTGCTCCTACTTTAAATTATAGGAAATCAGATGTTTTGAAACCACCACCTCCTTTACGACCTTCCCCTCAAGCCTGCCAAACCTATACTTTGCCCTCCCTGGCTGCATGAAAATTCTTGCCCCGCAAAAGAGAAACAGAGATAGAATAGGCGGAAGAAGGGACCCGAAACGTCAGCTTTCCTGTTACTCTGATGCTGCCTGACCTGCTGTGTTCCTCCAGCTCCACACTTTGTTATCTCTGACTCCAGCATCAGCAGTTCTTGCTATCTCATAGAATAGGCTTGTTGCTTTCTGTAGAACAACTGAATGAACTACAGACCTGTGTCTTTCAATGAAGTGTGGTGACCAAGGCGGAAGGGGGTGAAAGAATGGACTGCCTTACCTTTTCTCTTCCGCACAGACCACTGAATGCTCAGTGGTGGTGCTCCACCGTGCTGGGCCCTGTAGGTTACTTAGCACCTCCAGCCACACTTGCTACCTGAGTGGCCAAGTTTTCGAATGCAATTGATATTGATGGAATGGGAATTTTTCAGGGTCTACCAACTTCCAGATTGCAGGAAATTCTGAAATATACGGAGTGAGTTCAGCAATTCTTCTTGGAAATTTAAGAGTAATCCAATCCTGGCAGAGTGTGTGTGTGTGTATATGGAGTACTTTCCCTGGGGCGTATCTTTCAGCCCTGTAGCTTGTACTGCACTAACGCTGGGAGAGCAGGGGGCGGAGCGCGGGCGGGGTAGCTTGAGGGTGACTGACAGAAGGCGAGGAGCCCAATGCTGGACTCAAACCTGAAGGAGGGAGCGCAGCCTGGAGCTTGTGCCCTGGCTGCATGCAGTTGGAAAGTCCGTGTGAAGGTCTCTTCCGAACAGAACTACCCTGAGCGATTCTTGACTACCATCATATACAGTCGTTTCCGCACAGATGACAACTGTTGGGAAACCGCATCCATTAATCCTCATTGTTTTGCCTTTATTTATGCAGGGTAAGGGCACAATAAAAAATATAGCTTGCAGATTGATCAAAAGTAGAAAAAGAGATTATTGCATAAAATGTTGATATTGTTTGCAGATTTAAGGAGGATGTGTTGCAATTTATATTCTGCACTACTTGTAATGTTTCTGTTTCTGTATATGTGTGTATGTTAAGGTTGCTCTTCCTCCAAAGCGGAGGATAGGCTGTTCCGGAAGATTTTCCGCCGATATAACCAGTACATCAGGCCGGTTGAGAATGTGTCTGACCCGGTGACTGTACAGTTCGAGATCTCCATCTCACAGCTGGTCAAAGTGGTAAGGGATAGAGGCTAGGAGTGAGCTTTGTATCAGAACTTAATGGCACGCGTGCGTTATGGACAGTTCTGTTGTTCTAAAGTGTAATCCACTTTGTTTGCATCCCTTTTTGGTAGGACGAGGTCAACCAGATCATGGAAACTAATCTTTGGCTGCGACATGTAAGTGGTGCACTATACATAAGCGATGTTACCCGTGATATGCAAATACAACATCCTGCAACATCTGTCGAGGGCACATGTACGTTCATCTAAACTAGTTTCTCAGTAAAGTGAACCACATCAGTCTTAGCTATTCATTTACCTCCACCCTCTGGGAGGTAGAATCCCTAGCCCTTAATTCATCGCAGCCCATTTTGATCACACAGAACGACAGATAACACTTTACAATTTGCACCTAAAACAGTTGCTTTGTACCTAAAACAGTTGCAACAGAAAACCTAGTTCTTTCGGCCTGACTTAAACTCTGTGTTAGCTAAAGTCTCACCTGTGTCTCACCCGCTGTGTTTCACTGGGACATTGCACTCTTTATGACTTGACTGTTTCAAAGTGACAGCAGATGCGTATAGAGTACGCCATTCAGCTCGTTGAATTTGCATCATCGGGGGTAAGCATGTTTCAGTGTTAAAACATGCCCAGTAGTGGAGAAAGAGCAGGGGAGTCGCACTAGCACTATTTCTGGTGACCAATCAAAGAGCGGTTATATCCACAATAGGCTAAATAGCCTCCTTCTGCGCTCAAATCTTAGCATTCAGATAGCCAGAATGTTTTACTACCAAGGCAAAATACTGCAGGTCCTGTAAACCTGAAATAATAAAAACCAGAAAGCACTGGAATTACCTTACAAATATGGCAGCATCTCTGAGAAAGTTAATCTTTTGAACTGATGACAGTTTTGATGAAAGGTCTCTTTATGGGTTGGTGACTATAAATCCAGCATTTAAGTATTCCAATAAGCTAATAGTAAGTCAAGCCTCAAAAATACGTTGTTGTTGAGCAAACAACTTTCTTTATAATGAATGTAATATTTCCAATTCATCTTGTTATTTTCAACAGATCTGGAATGATTACAAACTGCGATGGAACCCAGTTGACTATGATGGGATTGAATCTATCAGAGTACCTTCTGACCACATATGGAAACCAGACATTGTGCTGTACAACAAGTGAGTTTCACATGACTAGTAAAGCAGACTCAATGCTTTAATCTATTTCTCCAGATATTTTATTGATGCATTAACCACTTTTGGACCCTTCTCCTTTGCAGTGCTGTGGGAGATTTCCAAGTTGAGGACAAAACAAAAGCATTACTCAAATATGATGGAACTATTACTTGGATGCCTCCTGCCATTTTTAAAAGCTCCTGTCCAATGGACATCACCTATTTTCCTTTTGACTATCAGAACTGTTCGATGAAATTTGGATCCTGGACCTATGACAAAGCCAAAATTGACCTTGCCATCATTGGGTCCAAAGTAAACTTGAAAGATTTTTGGGAGAGTGGCGAATGGGAGATCATTGATGCTCCTGGATATAAACATGACATTAAGTATAATTGTTGTGAATCAATTTATGTGGACATCACTTACTCATTCTACATACGAAGACTGCCCTTGTTCTACACAATCAACCTGATCATTCCTTGCCTATTGATATCCTTTCTGACCGTGCTAGTTTTTTACCTACCTTCTGACTGTGGCGAGAAAGTCACTTTGTGTATATCTGTCCTCCTCTCCTTGACAGTATTTTTGTTGGTTATCACTGAAACCATCCCTTCTACCTCACTGGTGATTCCTCTGATTGGTGAATACCTATTATTTACAATGATCTTTGTCACTCTGTCTATTGTTATAACTGTATTTGTTCTAAATGTCCACTATCGAACTCCAACTACTCACATCATGCCAGGGTGGGTGCGGAGAGTCTTCCTGCACTTCTTACCCAGAGTGATGTTGATGAGAAGGCCTTTAGATGAAAAGCAAGCTGAAAACTCTAGGAGCAGACAAAAGAAAGCTAAGTGCCCCCAAACAAATTGCACCAGCTATATGGAACATGGTGACTTCAAGATTAACAAAGACCAGTCAAAATTCCCCTGCCAGCACTGCAAACAGCCCAGTGATGATGCTTCCTATAACTTTTCCAGACACATCAGCCCACAGTCACTAGAGACTCTGTTAGGTGTCTCACTCCTTTCTCCTGAAATCCGACAGGCTATAGAGAATGTCAGGTACATTGCAGAAAACACAAGGAGCCAAAATGCTGCCAGAGAGGTAAGTAGACATTGGAATTATTTGTCGGCTGGATGGTCAAGTAATAAGCAATAAATAGTGTTGCTTCAACAGCCACACTGCTTTGTTTCTTTTGTACAAATTAGTGGACGTGGAATTAATTAGCAGCAGAAAAATCAGACATTTGGCCCAATTGGTTCATCCTTAAATTAATCTATGCTATTTGTCTCAATTACTTGCGGTATCATGTTCCTATTCTTAACCCTTACTGGATAAAGAGGTTTCTCCTGCATTTCCTACTGAATTCAATAATGCATAATTATATTATTGACAGCTAGTTTTGGTTTCCCCTCACGTTTTCTCTGACAAACCCTTTCATAATGTTTTAGATGCTCTATCAGGTTACAATAAACCTTTTCTTCCCTAAGGTTAAAAAAATTTGGCCTATTAAATCTTTCTTGACAGTTACTACCTCTAAGTTCTGGTATCATCCTGTGAATCTTACTTTTGCACTTTTCAGTGCCTATACCCAGGCTGGAAAGTCAATAGCACAGACCATGTCTGGTTCCCAAAATCCCCAGTTTATGTTATTCCAATAGGAAGTGCCAGTAACATCCCTATTCTATGTTATTCCAAAAGGAAGTTCCTACGATTTCTCCCCATGCAAAATTCAATCAGTGGCAGAAAGAATGCACTTCCATTTGAAAAACAAAACTCAGTAGTATGTATTACATTCATGCTACCAAGCAGTAAGTAACTTTAGTATTCTTCATGGATAGTAGAAATACGATATTGGTCAGTTGCAATCTGTGCCAAGCCCAAAAATCAAATTAAAATCCACATAAGTACCCATAGTCTAGTGCTGTTTTACTTCTGAGACATATTTCATACAAGCACTGAGAACTTAACTCCATTTCCAAATATCTTCAGTGCTCCTCTGTATTTATACCTTTATGTCTTTTTTAATGCATATTTACTTTATACTTTTATGATTTGCAGGTAATATATCCATTTATTTAAATTCTTGGAAAACCTCATCACCAAATCAGGTCATTTTTGTTTGCTTTTATAAGTGCTAATGTCAATGTCCTGTTCTTACAGTGTACTGATTAAATAGAAGAAGCCCAGTACCTGTAGAGTTAATGTAGTTGAGCTTGCTCTTTTCGCAAATATGGTAAGGTCGACTTATTTCTTTAAAATCACCAAGAAAAGCAACATTCTAGTTATATACATATGTTGGCCCATTATTGGGACTAATTCTAACCATATTTAGATGAATTTAGATTCTTGATAACTGAGGGGATGAAAGATTAGTAGGATTATGTAGTAATGTAGAGATGAGGTTGAAATCAGACAGCCATGATCTTATTGAATGGCAGAACAAGCTCAAAGAGCCAAGAGGCCGACTCTTGTTTCTTGTACAAATGTTTGTACATTTCACTTTGATCATATTTACATATTTGCTGTACATTTTAAGGAAAGAACGTATATTTGGGTAGTGCCTTACATGATTTTAGAAGATTCTGAAGTACCTTATGGACAATCAATCACTTTTGAAGTGTAATCACTGTTTTAAAGTAGGGAAATGCAGCAGCAATTTATGCATTGCAACATCTCTCAGATGGAGTGAATGATCAGAAAAATGATATTTGTTGAGGGATAAATAATGGTGGGGCATCCCTATTGCTCGACTTCAACTAGTGCTATTGGGATTGTTGTGTCCACCTTACACAGCATACAGGGGTTAAGATCCCATAAACAGGGTATAAAGCCTCTCAATCAATGTTTAAGGTACTTTGTAAATTGCAACACGGCATTGACGTGCCAGCTTGAATTATGCACATAAGGTGGTGGAGTGAACATTGAATCCAAGCACCTACTTTCTAAAGTGGGAATATGCCACTGAGTCAAGGCCAACATTTTTCAGGACAAGGCAATATAAAATCTGCAGAAGCAAGGGAACTTGTGCGCATATTTTTAGTCAGATAATGGTAATACTGTAGAATACTTGGATTTAAAATAGAAAAGAAAATGTGGGGAAGTTTCGTTTTCTTTCTTATGTATTTAATCTTAACCTCAAGATTTATCTGATTCTCAACAGTTCATAGGAATTTACTATTAATTCTTTATGAACATTGGTCTGAATAGAGAGATGAACTTGTTTATTTGATTCAGTAGATTTGCATTTTGAAGTTGAATGCAATAATGGCATGATGACAGACTGATCAAGCAAAAGATAGAAAAACCAATCAATTGAATCTGTTTCGGTCAGAGCTATGCAAACAGATCAATTTGCAAGAAACAACTTAAAAGCAACAACTTTACAGCAAGGAACTGAAAAAGAAGTGTTTCAGAGTCAGCACGGAGGGATTGATGGGGCTCTTGAATCCACTGAACAGATTAAATCCCATTTCTAAAACGTTTACGGTGCAATTACACACATAATCATTTAAAGGTAGCACTGGAGCTCTGCTACACATTTTGTTTCAAGGCAAATCATTAGCTTGATTCTGTTTACAGTCTGAGCTACAGTGCGGAAAGCCAACCTTAAAACTTTAAACTCTAACATTGTCTTGATTTGCTAAGTAAGGTTAAAAGGGTGGTCTTTCAGTCTTAATCCTACTGTTTCTTTTCCAGTTTCTCTAGGAGGGAGTACAGCGTAGGTTTACATGAATAATGCCTGGACTTCAGGGATTACGTTATGAGGAGAGATTACATAAATTAGGCCTGTTTTCTCTAGAATTAACAAGGTTAACAGGGTGATCTGATTGGTCTTCAAGATATTAACAAAGAAAGGTGAGATAGATAAAGGTAAACTATTTCCACTGGTTAGGGATTCTAGAACTAGTGGGCATAGTCTAAAACTTAAGCCCAGAGCATGAAAGAAAATATTAGGAAGCATTTCTACACACAAAGAGTGGTAGAGGTTTGGAATTCTCTTCCACAAATCGCAGTTGATGCTAGATTGTTGTTAGTTTTAAATCTGAGATTTTTTTTGTTAAGCAAAAGTATTAAGAAATATGCGTCAAAGGCAGGTTTATGGAGTTAAGCGACAGATCAACCATGTTCTCTGTGTTCCTATATAGTGATAGGGACACTAGTGGTATTTTCACTATACTACTAATCCAGAAATTCAGGTGACGTTCTGGAGACTCATAAGAATTGGTCAAAGGCAGGTTAATGGAATTAGTTCACAGATCAACCACAAACTTTTTGAATGGGGGAATATGTCATTAGGTTAAATTGTCTCAATCTGTTCCTAGGTTCCTGTGTATTTGCTAAATGAACAGAAATAGTATGTTGTTGGTAGTAGTATTGGAGAGATAAATAGTGGCTGATACTCTCTGTACTGTACTGAGAGAGTTATGCACCCTTAACAGTACCATCTTTCAGAGGCAATGTCAACCTTATGCTACATCGACCCTTTTAGGTGGTAAATATCCTATTCAGTGAAAATCAAGGGAATTCTCCTGGTGTCCAAGCCAATATTTCTCTCTTAATCACCCCATAAAAAATTCTGGCCATTCATCTCATAGTTGTTTGTGGGGTGTGGCTAAATTTCTCAATATTACAACCATGAGTATACCTTAAAATACTTTGTGATTTCGGTTTACTAATTTGCTTATTTAATGCCATGTGTCAGCATCAAGATTATACCATATCTTGGAGAATGTTGCAGGGTAAGTCAATGGACATAAATATTCAGGAAAATCCGGTTATCATCAATAATAAAACTACATAAAAATGCTCACTTTGAATTTTGCTCCTTTTGTTTCATATTTCTTCTGAAATAACTTTTCTGCTTGGTATCTTTTATTTTTAAAATAGGGTTTCATGGAGGGGTGGGTTTGGCTATTAATTAAGCATATTTCTAATAAGTGGGTTAACATTACTGTGCTCTGTTCATGTTTTGCAGGTGGAAGATGATTGGAAATATGTGGCAATGGTAATTGACCGAATATTCCTGTGGATATTTGTTTTAGTTTGTATACTGGGAACTGCAGGATTGTTTTTACAGCCACTGATGGCTGCAGAGTAAATCTAGTGTCTTATTTCAAACCAGTGAAATTCATCGGTGTTAAGATTCAGTGTACATAACACCAGGGCCATCTGTCACACCAGAACATACAGATAATCAAACATAGCATGAGAATGAATAATGAAAAACTGTTCCCTTGAAATCTTTGTCTTTTATACCATGAATTTATTAGCTGTTAGCAAAATAATGATTCTGTGACCTCTTATGTGTAAAACCATAAATCACTTTTCACTGTTCTGTATTAGAATGCCAATAGGCCCTGGCCGATCCTCCTATATTATGAATGATGTCATGATAAAATGTATTATTTATTAAAAATGTATCCTTTAATGTTTCAGACTATATCAGAAAACATATTGTGGATGCTATCCTTCTTGTAGCTCTCATTATTGTAATGACTGCCTTTTTATTGTAATTGTTTAGTATCTTTCTGCAAATTGATGAGAGCATCAGGTAATTTTAAAATTGTGAAATAATATCGATTAAGGAAGAAAATGAACATGCAACAGCTAAAAATACAGACAGTTAAAAATCACTGTTACTGAAATAAATGGATGACAATACTGGTTCCAGCCATTATAATATTTTTATTTTATCCACATTGAATGTTTCTTATCTGAAATACAAATGTAAGCTAGTCTACTTGGTTTTCACAAATTGCTCTGCAGACTTTTTCCCCTCCTCTGCAATCACCATGAGGGCATGACTCTGTGTGAGAACCAGAAGGTCTGCTAGATGTTGGCCATTCTTTATGTTGGCACCTGGACAGTGGGGTTCGATAGGTAATTAGATTCTGCAAAGCGTCACAGTCAAATGAGTCCTACCTGACACATACACATTTCCACTTGAATTGCTGAACACGTGAACAGTTCAGGGAAATCTAATTGTTTTCCCTCCTACAACAGCTGGCTGAGATCACCCAAATGCAAAACTTTGACTTACTTGATCTGGACTGGACAGTACCTTTGGCTTCTATGCCTGTCAGAGAATGACTTTATTTTTAAGCAGGGCAGCACATAACAAAACAAATGCCATGAGTTGCTCAAAAAGGGAGTGAGTGCCTCATATGTAATAATTTTTTTTACATCCTCAAGTTGTCTCAAAATTTTTCAAAATCAAAGAAGTGCTTTCATATTATACCGATTGTTATGTACTTTGGTGGCTATGAATCTTAAATATTTTTCAGTTGACAAAAGGTGTTCTAAAAGTTGGCAAGTTATATTACAGCTGTTTAAAACTTTAGTTAGACCACATTTGGAATATCGCGTGCAGTTCTTGTGGCCACATTACCAGAAGGACATGGATGCTTTGGAGAGGGTGCAGAGAGGATTTACCAGGATGTTACCTGGTCTGAAGGATTTTAGCTATGAGGAAAGGTTGGATAAACTCAGTTGTTTTCACTGGGAAGACGGAGGCTGAGGGGTGACCTGATAAAGGTCTACAAAATTATAAGAGACATAAATAGGGTGGATAGTCAGAGGCTTTTTCCCAGGGTGACAAGGTCAATTACAAAAGGGCACAGAGTCAAAGTGAGAGGGGGAAAGTTTAGGGGGAAGTGTGGGGAAAATTTTTCACACAGAGGATGGTCGGTGCCTGGAAGGCACTGCCAGTGGAGGTGGTGGAAGCGGGCACATTAGCAGTGTTTAAGACGTACCTTCATAGACACATGAACGGGAGGCAAACAGAGGGATAGAGACTGTGTATGGGCAATAAGTAGTGTGTCTAAATAAAGATTGGGAATCAGCACAGGCTTAATGGGCCAAAGGGCCTGTTCCTGTGCTTCAGCTTTTCCACTACAATACAATACAGCACAGAAACAGGCCCTTTGGCCCACTAAGCCTGTGCTGTATTGCATTGTACTGGAAAAGCTGAATACTAAATGACAATAGACAAATCCTTTTGATTTATCCCTCTTCTGGATTATTATGAATGATTCAGAGTTGGGATTCTGCTACCCTGCAGCTTCTAAAGGATATACATATTATTAAAGCCACACAGTTGAGTGTGCTGATAAATTCTCCTTTTGGATTGAGTAAAAAGGTCACTGCACTGACAGATTAAATACACATAATGTAAAAACAATGCTATTGGACTGAAGACATGGGAACCCAAGCAACAGTTAGAGGATGTGATTTAGGCTGATGTTGTTTCTACATGAAATTTGTATTATCTATGACTTTCAAAAATGTTAATGCCGTAAATCTTGTAGATAAATAATTTTATAAACTATGAATCAGAACAGTTAGTAAAGTGATATGCTGAAATGGAAATACATTTGAAAATTACAAAATTATTTTAAACACGTGCATGTGGAAATAAAGGCCCTCAGAACAAAAGGAATAAATCATTAGACAAAAAAACTGTCAAAAATGTATTGATTCTAATTTGTCAAACTGATCTATATTTTAATCATTTCGTGAATCTATGTGCCAAAATTCATAGTCACTTCAGCACTGAGTAGTTCATTTGAGCATTAAAAAATCTGTTATTGAAAACAAACAGAAATAGTTAGTATGCTTAACAAGAATTCACTGGAAGAACATAGTAACATGTTTTATATCAATGGAAATAATTCATTATTTCATGCAGACCTCCACATTAGTAATGATCTATCTGTCATTAGCTTCAATAAATTTTTTTTACCTATGTTTTAACTCGCATCTAACCTGATAATAGGTTTGCCTACAGTAAGAATTGTATTTTTAAAGGATGCACATAAATCTCACTTTAGACTGTCATAACTAAATGTTTTGTAGCTTTTGCTTTTGTCTGTAGAACAACCTTGCTCACTCAGACTTAATTGCTTACCACCAAAAATGCATAAAACAACACATTATATCAGAGACCAAGACAAAGTCAGAGATTAACAAAGCCACATTTAAGGGGAGGCCATGGCCTATTAATACTTCAATGTTAATCCAGAAACCCAGGTAATGTTGTACGGACAAGGGTTTGAATTCAATAAAAAAAAAGATTGGGAATTAAGAGTCGAATGATAACCAAGAATCCATTGCTGATTTTTAAAGAAACCATCTGGTTCACTAATGTCCTTTAGGGAAGGAAACTGCCATCCTTACCTGGTGTGGCCTACACGTGACTCCAGAACCACAGCAATGTGGTTGCCTCTTAAATGCTGTCTGGGCAATTAGTGTAATAAGTAGTGTGTCTAAGTAAGCAGATGGGCAGCAAATGCTGCCTAGCCAGTGATGCCCATGTCCCATGAACAAATGAAGAAAAAAAAAGTTCAACTGAAAACAATGGAACATCAGTACTTCAAAGCACATTACAACAAAATAGAGACGACAGATTAAAGACATTGGTGGGTAAACTGAATATCTGCATTTCAGGTGTAAATGTAGAAATGTCATTGATCAAATGGCTGAGAAATCTAGGACAGTTTTTGTAATGCAAAGCTTGCTGCTATCTGGCAGTGCACTGTCCAGGAATGTCTGTCTTTGGGGTTAAAAAGTCATAGATAAGGAATACATTCAACCTTTTTCTCTTTTGGAAATTGCAGATTATTTATTTCTCAGATACAAGAGTATCAATTATATGAAGATGCTCACAAAGAGTGGCAGACGGTTCAGGTAATTGGTTCCTTAGAGCTTGTATCTCTGCTCACATTTCTTGTGGTGATGCAAAGCTGGATTACAGTAGGAGAAACCTGCATGGAAAATGCTTGAGGCTTTTCTTGACTTGAGTTTTATCGGCCGGCAGGAGCTAGAGGATGGGATTTAATGATGACTGGCCAGAGTTCACCAACAAAGCACATCTGAAGCTGACTACAATGTTAGTGAAATTACTCCACAGCAGCCGATATCCTATCACCTAGTCATTCTTTATTTACATGTGGACGGTCCTTGATACTGATCCAGCTCCCTCAGAACCAGCTTTTACAGTGTCAGGATGTCTGACACTCCTGTTTTTATCTGTCAACCAGGGCTCTCTGATTGGACCAGATTAACAGCCCCAATCAGGGAGCTCATACTCTATGAGGCCCTCCTAGCTGGCCTCGTAACAATCACTAAGTTAACGTGAGCTACGAATAAATTAGCACAGAAATCCTGAAGTAGCATTTTAACAATGTGATTAATAAAATTTGTTGAAAAGCAGAACTAATCCTAGAGGCTCATGATGTTGCATCATTACTCTCAGTTGGAATACTTAACCTACAATTGTGTGAATTGAAAAGCAATGCAGATATAAATGTTTACCTGAAAAGTAAAGTAATAATAAAGCCTTATAAAGCAATAACAAGATTTTTTTTACTTATCCAAATGCTTCCATTTTTATAGTCCCAAAGTACTGTACTAAAATGATGCTGATAACATTGAGTGAATTCTGAGAAAATAGTTACAGAACTGTCGTTTCTGAACAATAGATTTCTGGGCTCCGAGAGTTACAAGGCACTATTATTTACGTGCATACAAATAAGGAGTAATATATACAAATTTGGAAATTTAATCACACTTACATTTCAACCTGTAATGTATATCATAAAACTAGTGTGAAGTTAGTGAAGAAAGCTAAGGTACAGCATTAGAGAAGAGGTGATGGAAATAACAGACTTAGTTATTTTGAGAATGCCTAACAAGGATGCAACAGCAACACTCACTTCACTGAAATAATTGCATTTATATAGCTACATACATAATGTCAGGCTGTTCTAAAGTGCCCTATAGCTAAAGCAGTACTTTTCAAACACAGAAAGTGCTGGAGAAACTCAGCAGGTCTGGCAGCATCTGAGAAGAGAGAAACAGAGTTAATGCTTCATGTCCTGTATAACTCTTATTCAGGTTTGTAATGTGAAGGTAATGTGAATGTAGTGTATGACTGCTTGGACTCTGAGCAAAGCCTGCAATGGACGCTCTTGTATTCTGCCTTTCTTGTTCCACAATCTCGATATAGTCATGAATAGTGAGATGCTGCTGATTTTAACTCCTTCCAGCTCTGACTATGATGGGAATCTTAAGGACCATAGTGACCACGAAAGCCATTGGTTACACTCTGGTCTTGACTTGGTTTGAGGCTTCAGATACATCTATAGCAGATTACAGCTCCATCACAGCTTCTTTTTAGTGAGCCACAATTTCTGCACAAAGTGCTCCTCAGTCAGGTTGGGGTATTTAAAGTAATTCCCAAAGATTTACTGTGGTTAGCACCTTCTGCACTCTGCTCTTCACCTCTTCCTCCTTCTAGCTATTCCTGCCAGCTGCTGTCTCACTCAGTTGTTCTCCTTCTCCCTCCAATATTGAT